CACACACACACACACACACACACACACACACACACACACACATGCAACTCCAAAACCACAGCGCAGCAAAAGGAATTACAATTGACCTCCGTACTTGACAAAGCATCGATTGTAGCTCTCTCTCACACACACGCGCACACACACACAACTCCAAAACCACAGTGCAGCAAAAGGAATTACAATTGAGCTCCGTTCTTGACAAAGCATCGATCGTAGTTTGTGTGACATCATCCTGCAACCAATTTCCCTACCGATAGTCAAGACCTAACTAAGAAAACTAGTGCACGAAAAGAGCAACCACCAACGATAAAACTAAAATCGGGCATCAAACTGTAGAATGAAGAAAATTGTCACCACGACTGGAAGTCATTTATCGGCACAAGTACACCGGCAATCGGGAAGAAACTTGATCAAACAATCAGTTGTCCCACTCAGCAACCGGAACCGGCACCTATCAGCTCCAACGCTCCTCATGTCGCGACTGTCATGGTGGCGTTCTCCTCCAATCAAGGCTCCGTATCTAAAACCAGGGGATTCCCCTGGCGGTTACAATTCTGGTATAAGGCGGCGACCAGGATCTCGCCCGTCAGTTATCCCCACTTCGTGCTCCATCCTTTCGTTAACTGAACAGGATTCCCGAGTAATACCGACCGAGACCGGCCATAGCGTACACCCCACCCACGCCCACACGCCCTACACCACATGTCACCCCTGCCATGCCGCCAGCAAGTTCTGGCACGCGAAGACAAACACTCGCTGACCTCGCTGTGCGATCCCCCACTGCCCTGTCGCCGCCAGGCGACGCGTTAGCGTCGCATCCATTAATTCAGGGTCAGATCATAATTCCTCACGGAACCGAAGATTGAAAAAAAAAAAAAAAACAGTGTCGTACTAGGGCACTCCCATTTTAAACCCCTCCAGCCCCTTTAAAACGAATTTATACCCCTCTTCCCCCACCCCCCTTGACAGCCAACACTCAAAAAAAGAAAAGAGTCCGGATTTGGGCTCCTCTCGGTAGGCGAGGCACCCCTCCCCCCCCACCTTTTCTCTTTCTTTTCCCCCATGCCCGGGTACCCCAGGTGTCACTCCCAGCCTGGCGCGGCCGGCCCAGCCGGACATGACAATCTTCCTAGGTTCGTAGTAGACGTACTAGGTGAGGTGGTAACATGGACAAATCCAGGAAGAATTAAAATATAACATTCTTTTGACTCACAGGAAGAGCCTGGTAGAGCATGCTGCCGCGCTTGCGACGGATAGAACTTTGCATAAGGTTCGGAGGAGAGACAAAAACACTACAAGCTGCCTCAACCACGCCCTTGCTGCGTGTCTTAGCATTCACTTGTGGCTCACCCGTATACGAAAAGGAACTGCAGTTATCTTTTTCCCATTAGAGAACTACAGTAATAAATACGATTCCTATGAATGTTTAAAAAAGTTTAAAAAATGAGTATATGCCCGTCGCGCATGCGGCGTGATATGGCCGAACGGTGCGCCCACGAACCGTCAAGGAGGGGACTGTGACAGCCGTGTGTCTTCCCCACATAGGCAATGGCCTGTGGGGCAGATGGCACAAACATATAACGCCCCCCTCCCCCCTCCAAAGAAAAGAACAGGGAAATAGATCAAATAGAAATGGCATTTTTTTTTGCTCTCTCTCTCTCTCTCTCTCTCTCTCTCTCTCTCTCTCTCTCTCTCTCTCTCTCTCTCTCTCTCTCTCTCTCTCTCTCTCTNTCTCTCTCTCTCTCTCTCTCTCTCTCTCTCTCTCTCTCTCTCTCTCTCTCTCTCTCTGTGGGTGTGTGTGTGTGTGTGTGTGTGTGTGTGTGTGTGTGTGTGTATGCACACGTGATCATCCACATCATCATCGTTCCCGAACACGGGGTGCCCCCTGCCGCCCTGCCCAAGTAGCCTCACTGAACTGCGCGAGGCACACAAAACCACTTTGAAACTTCCCAAACGGCCGGTGCCCAACCTGTGCCACCTCCTGTTCGTTCTTTTCTTGCGCTCCTCTCTCCTCCAGCCTCCAGCCTCCAGCCTCCAGCCTCCAGCCTCTATCCTTCTCCGTCATCTTAGCCTTCGACCGCTATCCTCCTCCCTTAATAGTTACAAGTGGACCCGCAGCTGTGATGCCCTGGTGCAAGGCGGAGGGAGGAGATGGAGACGGGCGCATTGAGGGGGGGGGGAGGGAAATGAAAAGGAAAAAACAGGTCGGCATGTCCATCACGAATGCAACAGAAACATGTCCGTGTATCGGCCAACTGCGACTGCCAAGTGGTATTCGTCCTTTCTCCGACTCAACTGTCCATCGGACACCACATCTCTCTCTTCTTCATGTCTTCGATTCTGGCGATAGGGTTATTCCTCCGGGCACCCTCCTCTTCATCTTCTTTCTGTCCTCCGCGCCCTACTTTTCCCCCTCTTCCCTCCTTAGGGTATACTATCATTCTGTGTCTCCCTCTCTCCATCTCCTCAGATTCCTCTCCCTCTGATATATTTACTCCTCTTCATCTTTTTTCTGTCCTTCCTGCCCTCCTTTTCCCTCTGCTCGCTCCTTAGCGTATACTATCATTCTCTCTGTCTCTCTCTCTCCATCTCCTATCCCTTCTTTCCTTTCACGTTTGGAGTGACTACTGCACTCTTATGGGGTCCGATCAGTTTGGGATGTGTTGCCTGTGGGTGATGACGGATGCTCGTCGGAGTGTCTCCCTGGCTCAGTGGGTGGTGGGAACCAACAGTCCGTGGGGTTCACCCGTGATGTGGGTAGGTGATGTGCTGCTTTGCTCTGTGTTGGGCGTGTGGACTGCCTCGTCTGCGCTCCTCCACTGCCTTGCTGCCCGTTCTGCTTGCCTCGCAGGTCGTTCTTGGCAAGCTGCTGTCTTCGCTGTGTGGTGTGGCCGTGCTGTGGTGTTGTCTTGCGCATTGCTGCTTCGCTGCCTTGCCGCCCTTCCACTGGCCGTGCCTTCCGTGTCCTCTGCTTGCGCGCCATGTAGTTCAGTTGCCGTGTTGGCGTTGCCTTGTGCTTTACAGCATGGTTGCTCTGCTGCTTGTCCGCTTGCCCTGTCGTCCCTTGCAATGTGGTTGTCTTCGTGGTGTTGCCTGGTGCTTCACTGCTTCGGTGCTGCAAGTCCTGCGTGCCGTTTCGTTCCTTGCAGTCATTTGGCGTTGTGCAGCCGTGTTGCCTCCACTGCATTGCTTGGTGCTCTGCAGGGTTCCTACCGCTACCATGTTCCACTTGGGGACAGTCTGCCTTCAACAAGGGTCAAAAGGTGCATGACCCAAACCATCAATACGGGCATTCCGCAGATTGTCGAGGGTTCAGCCTCCTGATGAGTCGGTGCAACTCCGACGAAACAATCTTTCATCACCAACTTTTATTTATTTTTTTCGGTCCTTTGACGATCTTGGGACTCGTTTTTTTTTTCCTTCTGGTCTGTCTGCTGGGTGTGCTTGTATGGCGTTTGTCCTTCTGCCTCCCCCATGCCCTTCAGCATTCGTCATTCCTTGTCTTCTGTGCTTATGTATTGTCTGCCCTCCCACCTCCCCGTTGCCCTCCAGCCTATATGTTCCTCGTACTTTCATTCACACTGTATGGCAACCGCTTCATTTGCACGGCTACGACGCCCTCGAAAGCGCCTCGGCTGCACCGCAAAACTCGTTTCATTGTTGACAAATTTCACCATCCCTGCCAGCGCGGAGTAAAACGGCCTGGCGTGCGTATGAGCACACACCCAAAACACACACACACACACACACACACACACACACACACACACACACGATAGCGCACGTTCACACTTGCCATGCAACCCATAGCCCTTCTGCCACCGACCCTCGAAACGAATGCCTGGCAGGCCCTACCCTCGCTCTCTCTCACGCTTATCAACTTCC